CTCAAAATAGATCAAAGACCTAAATATAAGAGCTAAATCTATAGAACTCTTAAAAGAAACTTTAAGTGTGTATCTTTTTGATCTTGACTTTGGCAATGGATTCTTAGATATAACAATGAAAACAAAAGCAACAAAAGAAAAAATAAATAAATTTGACTTTGTCAACATTGAAAACTTTTGTGCATCAAAGGACACTATCAAACTGAAAAGACAACCACAGAATGGGAGGAAACATTTACAAACCATATATCTAATAAGGGTCCAGTAACCAGAATATGTGAGAAATTCCTACAACTTAACATCAAAAAGACAACCCAATTAAAAACGTGCAAAGGACTTGAATAGACATTTCTCCAAAAAAGTTATACAGATGGCCAACAAGAACATGAATTGAGGCTCAGCATCACTAATCAGTAAGGAAATGCAAATCAAAACCACAATGAGATACCACTTTACACCCACTAGGATGGCTGTATTAAAAAAAATCCTATAAAATGACAGGTCTTGGTGAGTATGGATAAAGTTGGAACACTTGTACATTGCTAGTGGAAATGTAAATGGTGTAGACACTGTGGAAAACAGTTTAGTGGTTTCTCCACGAGTTAAACATATAGAATTACCATATGACTCAGCAGTTCTCCCTAGATACATACCCAAAACAGATACTCAAACACTTGGACACCAATGCTCACAGCAGCGCTATTCACAATAGCCCGGAGGTGGAAACAGCCCAGAAGGTCACATATTGTACGATTCCATTTATGTGAGATGTCCAAAACGGGTGAATCCGTAGAGACGAAAACAGATGAGTGTTTGCCAGGGACTCGGGGAGAGAGGAATGGAAAGCAACTGATTGATGACTAATAAGTGGGTTTCCTTTTAGGGTGATGAAAATGCTTTAGTTGGAAAACATTGTTCAGGTATTAAACGTGTACTTTAAAAGGGTTGATTTTGTGTTTTGTGACTTTTACCCCAATTTCAAAAAATGGCATTTTGATCTCAGAGTAGCCCACTGACATACAGGCATCATGTTTTGTGCTGCACCGCAGCTTCAAGTCCAGCGCGCTCAGAGACGGTGCCACAGTGAGTCCCTGAGGAGGGGAGGGCAGCTTCCTGCAGCACGCTGGGGTGAGAGGGGGTCCTGGGGCTCTCCCTCCTGGGGTGACTGGCCAAAGGCTCTGTCCTTCCCCTCTTGTCCTCTCTCCCCTATTGTCTCATTGAGACCTCACCTCCCCGGATGCCCTCTGTTATCTCCCAGGTTCAGCTCCCACTGAGGTGCCCCTCCTGGCTTCCCCACCCCAGACCCAGCGGGAACCATACTCTGTGTCCACCTGCCTTCACCTCCTGGTCCCGCCGCAGCCATGCCCGCCTTCTCCGCCCCATCACCCTGCTCAGAGAACCGCCCCAGAAAACCACACATCGTGAAGCTGGGGCCGCCACAGCTCCATGCTTTACGTTTGTATTGGGGCTTTCAGGGCAGCTCCCTCTCCATTCATTGACCACACCCTCTCTCACCCTTTCAGTGGTCACTGCAAACCTTCTGTTTTCTCAAGTGCCTTTGCAGATCTGCTTCTTCAGTCTCAGAGGTAGCCTGGCCTTCTTCTGCCCACTGAGAAAACAGGGGCTGTCAGCTAGGGGTCCCTCGCCTTGCTGCAAGCATCCTTCCCCAGAAAGGCTCCTTCCTCCTCAGGAACTTCCCTACAGCCCTTGTTTCCTTCTCCGTGCCTCTGCCCTTTCTCCCTCTCTGGTTCCCTCAGTCTAAATATAAGTTCAGGTCTCTTCCACTGTAAAAAGAAAGAAAAAAGAAACAAACAGCAAAAAAAGTTAGTCTTCATAACTGCAAAATACCCTTAGCTCACCTGACAAAATTAACAATCATTCCCTGATTTTTTTTTAATATTTGGTTCAAATTCAGATTTCCCTAATAGTCCCACATTATCTTTTACTGCTGTCTTTCAAATCAGGATTCAGTAAAGACCATGTGTTTACTTGGTCTTCTGTGTCTCTTATGTCTCTTAACCAGACCCAACCCCTCTCCTGCCCCTCTTTGTTTTTTGTGACATTGACCTTTTGAAGAGACAGGGTCACTGGCTGTGTCTGGTTGTTTCCTCATGGTGTCCTTCATTTTGCTCTCCTGTCTCCTGTACTTCCTGCAACCTGGAATCTGATCTGAAGGTGTGATTGGATGCAGTTAAATACTTTGGGCCGTAACACTTCATGGGCGGTGCTGGGTACCACGCTGAGCGTCAAAACAGGAGTGCAAGTGTCTGGTGCCCACTTTTCTGGATGCTAAGTGTGATGATGCCAGGTTCAAGGGGTGACAG